GACCCAACAAACCCATTTTGGGGGACTTATGCAGAAGTCTTTCACATCTACATGGGCACAGCATTAAGTGAAAAGTTGATGGGCAACATTATAAATGGACAGACCAGGCAGACAATGCCAGAACCCACCCATCATCTTCACCCCACAAAAAGAGAGAGCCGGAGAGTGTGTATCTCCAAATGGAAGTAACAGCACCCCCTACAAAACATACGTACCCCCCAGAAAAGGGAAGGAAAAGAAATGGAAATCAGATGAAGCCCCTCGAGCTAATGACAATGTTGTTTGCATAAATAGCGGGAGCATGTTAAAGGACACCGTGCACATTCAAGCAGCAAAACCCACTGTCAGGGAAATTCTACTGGAAAAGCAAATTAGTGTCTTCAACAAAGCTTGTCAGAAGGAAAAACACAGGAGAGGGGAGTAGAGATTAAGAGACACACAAGCCAAATGCACTGTGTGGGCCTCATCTGAACTGGACCCGAACAAATGAGAGAAATGGGCAAACTCGCTGGAGAAGGGACAATATTAAGAGATTACCATTCGGCCCTGGCCAGTTTGGCTCAGCGGTTAGAGCGTCGGCCTGCGGTCCGGAGAGACCCGGGTTCGGTTCCCGCTAAGGGCGCGTACTTCGGTTGCAGTTTGTCCCCGGCCCTGGTTGGTCGTGCGGGTGGCAGCCACTCAATGTGTCCCTTTCACGTCGATGTTTCTCTCTCTCTCTCTCCCTCCCACTCTATCTGTACAAAAATTGGAAAAATGTCCCCGGGTGAGGATAAAAAAAAAAAAAACAAAGAGATTACCATTCGGCAGGGTATAGGTATTATAGTTATGTTTTCAGAGGAGTCCATACATTTAGGAGAGAGATTAATGGATTAAATATGATTCTAAAGGATGAGGCGCTGTGAGACCAAACAAGATGGGCTGTTGTGTGTTAGCTTTTTAAAGTGGGATGAGGGATACTGGAGGGGTCCATTATACTGTTCTCTCTACTTTTGTGTGTTTGATATTTTCCATCATTAAAAGTTTATATATATATATATATATATATATATATATATATATACACACACACACACACACACACATATATATATAACATACACACACACGTACATATTCTATCATTAACCCAGAGACTGTGTTCATAGCCAGCTCCCATCTACAAAAATTAACAACACACACAGACTCAAAAAAAAAAAAATACAAAAGGTTCTTTTTTCCTCACTTGGACCCAAGCGTAATGATGGATTTTCTTGCTAGCCAGGAAAATTCACCAAGATAAACAAGTCGAGTTTAAAATGTTATAAGCAGCCAAACTCCTGGTGAGGTGCTCTGGAAAAGAATACACTGGATATTCTGGGAAGCAGGAACAGCAGAAATGCTTCTGGAGGAAAACCTAGGGTCTCTGCCTTAAATCGAGCTTGGCAACAATACCCGAGAAGCCCAATTATGGACAACAGCGCATGGATTCTCTGGGCTTAGCGTTAAAATTGGACAGTAGGGGCGGGGTAATCACCTTACCAAGGTCTACCAAAGGTTTTTTTTTTTTTTATCCTCACCCAAGGACTTTTTTTTTTTTGCATTTATCTTCAGATAGAGCGGGAGAGAGAAAGAGGAATATAGAGAGAGAAACATTGATGTGGGAGAGACACATCGACTGGCTGCCATCCACACAACCCCAACCAGAGTCAGGGACAAACTGCAGCCAAGGTACATGCCCTTAGTGGGAATCAAACTCGGGTCTCTCTGGTCTGCGGGCCGATGCTCTAACCACTGAGCAAAACCGGCCAAGGCGGGTTTTTTAATTTCTCAATAAATACTACCAAGCTGCATGACTCGATCCAAACACAAGAGCCCATCTTCAAAGTACCCAAAGAATAATGAGGCTGTCTCAGTCTCACGTACAGCCTGTGAAAGTCCGAGGAAGGGATCAAATGACTTTTACTTGCTGAAAATTTTAAGCAGGGTATGAGTACCCATGTTTCCTCTCCTTCCTGTGAGTTTGTCACAGAATCGAGGAAACACGCGCAACATCTGATTAAACACGGCCTTTTGAGGCAGCTCTGCCTGCAAAGCTGGAGTGGGTCTCCCAGGATCGAGGCCAGGTCCAGAACTTTCCCCCATACCACTCCTCAGCCTCAGCCAGGCTCTGGCAAGGAGTGGGGACTGTCCCCTTGGCGGGGGCCTATTAACCATCGCTGCTCCCAGACGTGGGATCTTGCTACGAAAAGCGGAAAGAAAACCTAGACCGCATCAGCCCTCGTCTTTGCAGGAGCTCAGTTCCGACTCCGTGCTGGCTGCAGGTGTAAAGTTACAACTCCCCCCGTACTGGTTGCTGCTTCCTGTCCAACAATCCTGGACAAACCGAGGCCACCTTTTCCTATTCTTAAAACTACTTTGCCTACAAGTGCTGAACTTACTTCCTAGCAATGCCAAGGGGGAGGGGGCTTTCTCAGCCACCTGAGCCCTGGCACTTTATTTCCTAGAGCGGTGATTTTTTGATCATTTTCATCTCATGGCACACATAAGCTAATTACTAAAATTCTGCGGCACACCACAAAATAGATTCTATTTTTTGCCGATCTGACATTACAAAATAGGTATAAATTTGATTTATTCACACCAGATGGCAATGGTTGTCTTAGCTGTTGTCATTTTTTTTTACTTGACAATCTAAGAAAAAAAGGAGGTTAGCGCCCGTGACTAAATAGTCAGGTGTTGCATGTTTTAAAAATTCTTGCAGGCCCTGGACGGTTTGGCTCAGAGGTTAGAGCGTCAGCCCCGAAAACCAAAGGGTCTCAGGTTCAATTCCCAGTCAAGGGCACGTGCCTGGGTTGCAGGTTTGATCCCCAATTCCAGCCGGGGTTGTGCAGGAGGCAACCAGTAGATGTATCTCTCTCACATCAATGTGATGTTCTTTTCTCTCTCTCTCCCCCCCTCCCCCCTCCCTCCCTTCCACTCTCTCTAAAAATCAATGAAAAAATATTCTCGGGTGAGGATTAACAAAAATACAAAAAAGCTGTAGTGACTAGAGCTAATTAAAGGAAGTCCCACTGCGGATCCAAATGGACAGAGAATGAGCACACACGCACTGCTGGGTAATGGTAGAGAAAGCAAAAGGCTGGCTGTAAGGGTAAGCCTCCAGCTCACACTGAGCATGACCAAAACCCACTGCCTGGCAGGGCCTGCAGGGGGCAGGGCAGGGTATCAGTGCCAGAGAAAGCCAATCCCCTCTAGGCAGGACCCCAGCTCACCTTTCTATTGTGTCTCCCCAGGTGCCTATAATATGCCCTTAATAAAGAAATGAACAGTGAATTATCAACCAAACCAATCCCGGATAATCAAGAAAGCGAAGCTCAACCCAGTGTTAAACCACAGGGTTTGATGTTCCTGGGTTTGATGTTCTTTATGTGAGGCAGAGATGGTTCCATTTGTCCAACGCTCACATTCATGTCGCACCTCCCTATGAAGAGCAATACTGCAGTCATATGTGGCATCGTCATGCATCTGCACACAGGATGAATGAGAGAGGCGTGTTGCCCACCTCACTTAGAACAGTGCCACGTGATTCCTGCCATCTGCTGAAGGCTGACTAGGTAGCAGACACTGGTGCTGTTTTCTTGGCAATTTAGCCCAGTGACTGTTTCTATGTACTGATCCTCCCACTCCCAAACCCCCATCAAATGGAGTGGAATTTGAAGATGGGCTCTTTGTGCGGCGATTCGATTTAGACGAGGTCATGAGAATGGAGCCCCATAATGGGATTTGTGTCCTTAGAAGAAAAAGAAGAGACACCAGAAACCAGATCTCCCTCCCTCACAAGCCCTGCTAAGTGAAGACACAGCAAGAAGCAGGTCCTGACCAGATACTGAATTGGCCTGGTCCACTGATCTTGGATTTCCACCCTCTGGAAATTCAAGGAGTAAAAGTCTGCTGGTTAAGCCACCCTGTCTATGTATTTTCATGCCAGCCACCAAGCTGGCTAAGACAATCCCCACAGACAGTGAGAACAGTGGGCACAGAAGATGTAAAGCACATGCCCAAGTTCCGCAAGTAAAGCCAGGCTCTGAAGCGAGAGAGGATGAATGTTGACCAACAAGTATACCCTTACTTCAGAAAATTAACTCTTTCAGATCAACAATATCACCATTTATAAAGTACGTGTGTTTTGTTTTGTTTTGTTTTGTTTGTCATTGAATTTGCTGACTTAATATAGCTCACAAATGATAAGAAATTCATCCCCAAACTCTTAGAAATGAAGTTTTCATTGTAAAGATGCCAACAGAAGGAAGCCATAAACCAGACTATCTAACAGATCAGTCTGTAATGATGGAAATATTCAATTAACTGTGCAATGGCTAGCCCAGTGGTTCTCAACTGGGGGCAGCTGGACCCTCCAGGGAACACTTGGCAAAGTCTGGAGATATTCTTGGCTGTCACAAATGGGTGGGACGGTGCTACGGGCATCTAGGGGGCCAAGGCCAGAGAAGCTGCTAAATATCCTATGACGCACAGGACAGCCACAACAGAGTTCTCTGGTCCAAAATATCAACATCGCAGAGGTAGAGAAAATCCACACTAGCCACATTGGACTACTGAGTGTTCCAGATGCAGCTACTGAGATTGGGGGATGCAATTTTGTCTTTTATTTCATTTTAATGAATTTGATTTTAACTTTTAGAATAAAAAAATTTAAGAGACCAAAAGGAACAAAACTGGAATTCAAATGGCAACAGACACATGTGTCGTGCAGAGCACGGCTATCGAGAACGTGCGTAAATATAAAATAAAGGTCTTGTTTCCAAGTAGTTCCATTTCGAGAAATAAAGTATCTTCAAGGAAAAGCAATTCTGATGCTGAGGATTGGGACATAACGAGCATAAACAAGATCACAGAAGTGGGTGTCCAGGAAGCTTTGGGACTCATGTCCAGGCACCAAAGCGGTCAGGGCAAAAGGGAATCCCCAGGAACCCTCCTCCCTCCCATCACCGCAGGCAACTCACTCTTGCAGGGTCTCCACCCCCTTCTCTTTGTACTGCAGTTCTTGTTTCATTTGGGCCAGCTCTCGTTTCAATCTGGAAAGCTAAAGACAAATAACATTTTTTCAAAACACAGCTGCGAAAAATCATTTCTCCAGTTGTTACCACGGTCACTGAAGTTTCTCATTTGCTTGCCATTCACGAAATCACCTACTCTCTCCACGAACTTCCATTCACACACGTGGAAAGCAGCCACCCTGGAAGAACTAACCACCTTGCTTATATACCAAAGTCCCAGAGCTTCCCACCCATGTGGGACGGCAACTATTGTCTTTTCCAAGGGATTGATTTGCTCATTACAATTAGCAAACGGTGTAACACCCAGTCCATCTTCCCTTCTACTTGCTACTCACAGAGCCAAGGACTGAAGCCCTGCTGTTGAGAGCGTGGTCTCTGTCGCCTGAGGGGCTTATTTAAACAGATTCTGGGACCTGCTCCAGGCCTGTGTTAAAGCTCAGGGGGTGGGCCTGGGTGCTTATTTGGTCATTCAACTCCCCAGGTGTTTTTCTTAGGTGCACTAGAATATGGGAACCGCTGCCCCAAAAGGTACACTCTTCTTTAGGGACTGACACGACAGCAGGAGGCTGCATCTCCAAGGGGTCTCCCATATTTTGATGCAAATGCAACAAAACAGATGAACCCCTCCCCAGACAACCAAGACAAGGGGCTGAAGGGGTAAAAGGATTGTCCACACAGGAACCCAGGCAACCCTTTTTAGATGGGCTGAGGTTTTAAAATGAAACATTTTCCCTCCTACTGGAAAAAAAGTGGAGAGTACAACCAAATAAAATAATAATAAATGAAATAGAAAACCTTACTAAAACATGACCATCAGACACACTGACTACCATAAAATGAACCATGATAAGGGATGTTACATAAAAGTACATATGGAGCATCTAGTTGTGAACACACTCCTTTTACTCACCCTATCCCGACGACTTGCTATTTCTGCTTTGATTTGGTGTGGGTCGTACTTTGTATTTGTTGAATATCCCGAGAAGGCTAAACAGAGGAAAAGATTTTATTTTATAATGGGTCCTTTAAAATAAACAAATGCACATAGACAGGAGCTTCTGATTCACCACATTAAATGATTAAGTCTCCAATTTACAAGTTGGCACTGGCTCCTAAAGAATCAACATTCCACAGCCTCAGATCTGGGTGTTTGCTTTTTGCATGAGGCCTGTCTACAGGATTCCACATAACCAACTAGATGGCTATGGGTCAATCAAAACTGTGCTGACTTCGACTGCAAAACTCCGAGGCTTAAATACCACATACACGTGGGGAGGGAAAGGTATGATTAAGTATGGAAAACTGCTCTGACTGTGTAAATAATACACACACTATGAATCATTTTTTTGTTGTTATTGTTGTTAATCCTCACCCGAGGATATTTCTCCATTAATTTTTAGATAGAGTGGAAGGGAGGGAGGGAGGGGGAGACAGAGAGAGAGAAACATCAATGCGAAAGAGACACATCGATTGGTTGCCTCCCACACGACCCTGACTGGGACTAGGGACCGAACCTGCAATCTAGGTACATGCCCTTGACTGGGAATCCAACCCACAACCCTTTGGTCCCCGGGCTAGCGCTCTAACTGCTGAGACAAACCAGCCAGGGCACACTATGAATCATGTTTACTTTCTTTTAAAATACACACACATAGAAGTCTTGAGAAGGATAGAGCCAAAAAGTCAACTGTGGTTCTTTTCAATGGTTTCATTACAAAATATTTTATTTTTATTTTCTTCATATCTATAGTCTCTAGATGAACAATTTTGGACATAAGAAAGGAAAAAAAATACTAAAGATCTATAAAATGAAAAATACAGCTTTCTAGGAATGTGCCAGGCTTGAGAAAAAGCTATTCTTCCAGGCTGTTTGTTCCACGCAAACTAAAGCGAAACACCCAGCCTTGTATTCCAGCAGCTTGTTTCTGGTGGCCGTTCGACTAAAAGCACATCACAGAGCTAAATGTATTCTTAAAGAGTGTGGTGCACATGACAAGCTCCTATTACAGACACAGCATTGCTATGAGTAGCCGGCACCTCGGGTGAATGAGACAAGAAACGCTGCTCGCCTGTGTCTGCTCAGCAGTTAGCCAGTCCCTGTCTATGAAAAGAGGTGGAAGCCCCTTCTGCTATTTCAGCAGCTGTAGCAGCTAGTGGCCACTGCTAATTCTGTCGCCCCTGTCACCCCTGTGCATGGCTATTTCCTGATGCTGCCTCCTTGCTCAGAGGCTTCTGCAGTCACCAGCTTTTGGGCTGCAGTGACTTGGTTTCTATCTCTTCCTTAGCTGGTGGAATGCTCTTCTGTCTTCATCTGTGGTCGCCCCACACTGGTTTCATCTCTCTCTGGGTCATTTTCATTAACGTCACCCGCTCAGAAGACCCATCCACAGCCAGCATCCTTTCTTTTACTCCTTTGATCTATAGACCGAAGGCTGTCATTCAGATAACTAGCTGCCAACACCTAGAAACTAGTTCAAAACCATGTCCTGTCTTCTACGGGAAAGGATGGCTTCAGGCCAACAAGGGGCTTCAACAGCAAGATTATTTAACAGCCCCAACTATATTCAAAATTAATTTGAGCAGTTGAGATACCTCCTTTTAAAAAAACAGTTCCATGGCAAATCTACTATGTAAGCCCCCATCAGTCGGAATTTCCAACCACAAGAATCCACTGGAAATAAATATCTGGAGGAGCTAAGTGTTGCCAACTTTATGTTCTTATATTTCTAATCGTAACCTCTCAAGACATGGAGTAAAATGTTTTAAAAATAGAATTCTTAGACAAAGAATGTCTATTTCCAAATCCTGCAACTTCTGTCTTGTCTGACTCTTTGGTTTCATTGAAGAGCAGCAATGAATCATTTCTATAAAATCTCCACGTTAAACTCCTGGGACTTAAGTTTCTCAGATCTGAGCTTAAGGGGATTCCACTTGGGACCCAGATAACATGCAAATGAGCCCAGAATTTGCTGACTCCTCACTTCCGCTATGTTAACTGTCTCCTTGCAGTTGAGAAAGACCACGCCCTTAGTTACAAACTGGGATTTTTCCCACTGGGGAAGAGAGTAACCCTACCACCAAAGTCCAGGGAAGTTAACTGCACTGTTAAACATCAGTAACAATGATCTGAAATCATTGCCACAAAACTTGAAGTGCATGTTAGAGATGTAGCGGGTATAATTGGACAAACACATGGCAACCTGCCCCCTCCTTTCTAACTACCAGTACCCTAAGGTTGGGTTGTCAGGTGTCCACCTCTCCCCAAGGAGACTCAGCACTAGCCTGTCCTGGAAGTACAGCCTGATGAAACATGACATCCCCGAGCCACCAAATCCACTCAGAGGAAGCCACCCCACCTAGAGGACTGTTATGTAACAATGCACGCCCTACTATCTAGGCCCATCCTAAACAACAGACTAGGTTTTACTTATATTGATATCATTCATGTTATCTTTGCTACAGTCTCTAAAATTATAAATCCCAGGACAGGAATGAGGGAAAAGTCAATTCGGATACCTAAGACAGTGAGTACAGCTTATGTTCAAATGCTAAGGAGAGTTTTGAACACTGGCATAATTTTTAATAATATAATTCGATTGATACAAATTCTCAGTTCCTTCTGTCTGCCAGTAAGTCTAATGGAATCCATGTCTGGAGTCCAAGAAATAACTAAGGACTCCGGACCCAATTTTTAACAGCATGCACTCCACAGCATTTAGAAAAAGAGCTATCCTCCTCTGTTAAGACATGTCTGCAATCTCAGGCTTTACGATAAATACCAGATTTTCACCTCTAAAGCTTTCTTCTCTCTTGAAGAGCTGAGTGGGCAGGTATTAAATAGCTTAAGGAGTCCACTCAGGTATACGCTATTGTTTTGGATGATATAATAACAAGGTTTTCATTTAGCGGGACCACAACAATGTAAATTATTGTACCTTGCTATTATGGGGTGCCTTTCACATTTATTTCATCTATTCTCATAAAAATCTTTGTGAGAGATAATTCTGCTTCCCCACTTTGGAGATTAAAAACTGAGTTTGTAGTGACTTGATCTGCATTATGCCATTAAGTCACAGAGGGACTTGTGTCTAGAACTTGGGCTCCTGTGGCTCAGTTGTCCAACATCTTTCAATCAGATTAGCTTTTCCAATGGAAGAAGGAATGGTCCTTCGGCTCCCCAAAGCCCAATGCCCACTAAGTGAACTACACCTGTGTATTTAATACTCAAAATGCTACGGACCACAGTACCTATGGTGGATTTCAATTTTCCAGGTTATTGAAATGGGGAAATTGTGTCTGTCTGTCTGTCTGTCTGTCTCTGTCTCTCTCTTCCACACAGGCCTCCTCTGTGCTCTGAGAACCTAAGGTCACACCCCAAGGGGATGATACGCTTTAAAAGACCAGTCATCCTTCTTCAAAGACATCTCTGGAGAGATTGCTACTCAAGACCAGGTGCACCTCCAGGCATCAGCACTGTAGGGGTTGCTCAAGGGAGCCCAGGAAGACTGGAGAAAAGGAGGCAAGCCCTGACAGATTCCATGTTGACAGGTACTAATTACCAGAGCCACGATAACCAAGGCCAGTGAAGGAGGGCATGACATTTTTTTAAAAGCACCATAAGCAAAGGACCAAAAAAAATAATAATAATAATAATCAAGCCCAGTCAAGACCTACAGAAGTAACGCAAGAAGCCATCAAATGCAAATCAGGAACCCTGTCTAGAGCAGACTAGGGGATTATCTCTGTGTGTGCTCTGCTCCAACCTTCAAGATTGAGTCTTGCCAACTAATACCTGTGAAAAATGCTGTGTGATCCATTTTTCTCCTGCCTGCTCCAACATGCTCACATGAGGGAAAACAAAAGGCTGAATGACTGGACTTTGGCCCTTATCCTCATCTAGATAGTAGATGAGAAACCCTTTACCAGAGAACTAAAGGAAGATAGTCTTTGTGGGAGGGCCTTGGAGCTTCAGAAAGAATGTTGGCAGGGCTGATCACTGATAAGGTCAAGCTTCACCACCACCTAGCTCAGGAATTCAGGGTGGATCAGCACTTTCCCAACAGAGATAAGGCTGACTCTTTCCCAGCCGCCCAGAGAGCCTTATGATGTAGAATTGTGGGAGCTCCTAGGAGCCAGTGTAACAAATAAAGGCATATTCCTGCTGCTAAAAGAGTCCATCTAGACTAGTGGGTCTCAACTCTGGGAATCACTTTGGGGGCTTTTAAAAAAAATATCTGGGTCCACTCAAGGCCAATTAAATAAAAAAGTTCTGCCCATGCAGCAGCAGTTTTTAAAAGCCCTCCAGGAGATTTTTCTGTGCAACCAAACAGCGTTGAGAACCACTGGTGTAGACCAGGGATTGGGGAACTCTCTGCAAAGGGCCAGGTAGTAAATATGTGAATAGAAGTGGCTGTGTTCCAATAAAATTTTACTTACAAATAACCCCAAGTGGACAGTACTTAGCCTGTGAGCCATCCGTAATTTGTTGACCTGTGGTTCAGATTGTAATTTACCCCATGCAAGAATCCCTTCCAAAAGATGCTGCAAATGGTCATATACTTCATCTCAACACATCCGGAGGCTAGAGTTTCTCAGGAATAATGAAAGAGTAAGTAACTCCAGAAAAAGAAGTTTCTGAAATAACGAATGTATGCAGTGTTAAAAGGAAGGCAAATAGAAGAACATATTAGCATGAAGAAGCAAGAGAAAACTCGACGAATTGGGGTGGGAGAAAATGTACCAGGACTGGGTACCGAACAGCTAGCACACAAATTCACACAAATAAAGTTGGGTTCTGAGATTAATCAAAGAACTTACATGCATATATATATATGCATTACCCATGGACACAGACTATAGGGTAGTGAAGGCCTGGGGCGGAACCGGGAGGAGGGGGGCAATGGGGAGAAAAGGGGAGACATCTGTAATACTCTCAACAATAAAGATTAGAAAATAATTAAAGTCGGGCCTGGCCAGTGTAGCTCAGT